ACCTAAAGAAAGAGAAAATGTTTCCAAATCATGTATCTGATAAAGGGCTAATATGCAGAGTATATAAAGAACTGTAACTCAATCAGGAAGAAATAGATAACCTAATTAAAAAAGGGGCAAAGGAACTGAAAATACATTTCCCCAAAGATGATACACAAATGACCACTGAACATACAAAAAGCTGCCCAGCACCATTAATCATTAGAGAAATGCAAATCAAAATCATAATAAGATACCGCTTCACATTCACTAGGATGGCTCCTATCAACAAAAGCAGAAAATACGAAGTGTTGACAAGGATGAGGGGAAAGCGGAACCCTTGTGCACTGCTGGTGGGAACGAAAGACGGTGCACCCCTACAGAAAACAGGATGGAGTTTTCTCGAAAAATTAAAACTGGAACTACCATACAATCCAGCAACCCCTCTTCCAGGTATATATCTGACTTAGATCCTAAAGAGGTATTTGCACACCCATGTTCACTGCAGCATTGTTCACAATAGCCAAGAGGTGGAAGCAACCCAAATGTCCACTGACGGATGAATGGGTAAGCAAGCTGCGGTGTATACACGCAGCGGAATACGACTCCCCCAGAAAGAGGAAGGAGATTCTGTCACATGCTACACCTGGATGATCCCGTGGACATTATGTTAAGTGAGACATACCCCAGTCCCCAAAAGACACATGCTGTGCGATTCCACTGATATGAGGGATCTAAAGCAGTCAAATTCATAGCAACAAAATGCAAAATGATGGCCACCAAGGGCTGGGGAGGAGGGAAATGGGCTGCTGTTTAACGGATCCAGCACTTCACATCTGCAGGATGAAAAACTCCTGGTGATAATCTGCACAGCACGGTGACTATACTCAACACCACCGAAAGGCACACCTAGAAGTGGCTAAGATGGCGCAATTCTTTTTATCACAATTAAAAATAAAAATAATAAAATAAAAGAAGTGCAATGTCTCACAATATCATTAGCATGATTCATACTAATGAATAATCTTTTTAAAAACAAAATCAAGAGGGTAAGTGTGCAGATGAAGCGAGACTGGCCACAGGTTAGTAACTGTTAAAACTGAGTCACTGGTTAATCGGGGCTCATCACGCTGAACTATTCTCTCAGCTTCTACGTGTTTCATGCTCTTCTGATACACGGCCCGGTGCGTCTGGCTGATGCATAAGGTTTTAAACTTTATTACATGCTTATTACCAAGGCCTTCCATTGATTCATTCACATGGCAGGGAACACAGCACATCCTTTCCACTCAGTCCTCTCTGGATGACAGTGACACTATTAACACGTTAGCCCATCTCAGTGAGCCCACAGCCACGTACTGACAGATGAGCCCTGTGCCATCAAATGAAAGCATTCTAAAAAGAAGCACTAAGTTTTTGAGGGACATTTATGTTTGCCACATATTATAATAAATATATTTCTATACTTGGGTGCTGCTTTGGCTTGAAAAGAAGGTATTTATCAAACTCAGAATGCAGCAAGCCAACAAATCTACGGTGAAAGTCAAAATACAGCTGTTTCTAGAGAATAAATATAGCATTCTAACACAAAGCAGTTATTT